AACACATTGAGAGGAAAATTGTTAAATTATATAGCTGTAGAGCAGGAAATGAAACCCAGGTTGTAAGCTCTGAGGGGGCAGGAAAACTGTTGGTGAAGTACACCATGAGCTACCGTACAAGTGTATCAGTGACTGAGCAGTAAGCTGCGGAGCCTAGCTCTATGTGAATGTGAATTTTTAAACTGCACCGTGCCTCAGTTTATCCATCTTTACAATGAAGTTTTGCTTCTCTTCTCAGTTGACTGGACTATTTCCCCAGTCTATCTTCTTGCCACTCTTGATGCCCATAAAAGGACCTAAGGTAATTTCTGACAGCCTGGGACTCCTTGGGAAAAACAGAAGGTGCCATAGACCTCATTTTAGGAGAAACCCCTGTTTTCCTCATGGAATCCCAAGAAACGTGGGCAGACAGGTCCCTCTCAAAATCTAAAGCTCTGCTCAGTTTTTCATCACATTACCTGACCTTTTTGACTTTTGGGGGCTTCAGCATTAGTAGGAAAGAGAGATATAAAGAAAGTTATAGCTATGAAGATGTATTTATGGTAAGGAAGGTTATGAAGAAAAGAAATTTTATATGAGAAAGAATCTTGTATGGCAAATTCTTGTCCTAAAGTAGAATGCCTAATTATTTAGGAAAGAGGGAAAGACAGGACAAGTCAGAAAGTCTAAGTATGTCATAGACGGTCTGTGGAAGTTGTGATAGGATTCATAAAGTGGGAAAGAGGCTGGGCCCAGTAGCTCACACCTGTAATCCCAGCACTTTGGGAGTCTCTACTAAAAATACAAAAATTAGGCAGGCATAGTGGTACACACCTGTAGTCCCAGCTACTTGGGAGGCTGAGGCACAAGAATCACTTGAACCCGGGAGGCGGAGGTTGCAGTGGGCTGAGATCGTGCCACTGTACTCTAGCCTGGGCGACAGAGCAAGACTCTGTCTTTAAAAAAAGAAAAAAAGAAAAAAAGAAAAGAAAAAAAACTAAAGGGAAAGAAAAACTTACAACAGCTAGATCTTCTCCTGTGTGTGTGATGTTCATATAAAGGAGCTCTAATTGGCTTCAAATCTACACCGTAGAGATTAATCCTTCACATGATCATGTAAGCTATGCAGTTACCCAGACTGCATCATTTGGTAAACCTGTATGGTTTCACGGAAACCATTCCTAGTTCAGGGCACTTTAAAGGATACACAGTCTAAGTACTGCCAAGATAGGCCCAGTAGCTGTGTTCACACTTTCCCTTAGGAAAAACTATACTAATCCTGAGACATCTAGTTGTCTTTTCATTCCCCAGTACGAAAATACCTCTAAGTCATTGCTGGTGGACACTAAGTGTAACTACCTCCACTGGAAAATTTCTGCTGGGGCAACTCAGGATACTTCCCAAGGTCCTTTCCAGCCTTTAACCGGGGCCACCTTAGCAGGGACCTTAATCACTTGAGAAAGTGAAAACAACAAGCTAACCCATATGTTCACCATAGACAACAATTTTTGTCTCAAAAACAAAGATCCTTTTTCCTGTGTGGAACTAGTTGTACTTATGTTTATCAGCCAACTGGACTGGAACCTGTACCCTTGTATATTTACCCCCTCAAAATCAACATAGCTCCCAATAACCAGTCTCTCATTATACCTTTAACTGCAACTGCCAAGCACAAATGAGCCATCCAATTCATACCCCTTTTGGTAGGGCTAGGAATAACTGCAGGAATAGCAATGGGAGTTAGCGGGTTTCCAACTTCCCTATCCTATTACCAATGCTCATCCAAGGATCTTTCAGACAGCTTGGAAGACATTGCCCAAAGTATCGTCACCTTACAAAATCAAATAGATTCCTTGGCAGCAGTCACTTTACAAAATAGAAGGGGACTGGATCTCCAACTGCTCAAAAAGGTGGCTTATGTCTTTTCCTACAAGAATGTTGTTTTTATATCAACCAATCAGGATTAATTAGGGATGCCACTCGAAAATTAGCTGACAGGACTTCTAAAATATAACAACAGCTGTCCACATCATAGGGCTCCTGGTCAAGGGCACTAAGCTGGGCTTCATGGCTCCTTCCCTTAGCCAGCCCATTGTTAATAATTATACTTGCATTGACTTTTTGGACCATGTTTGTTAAATCTTTTTACCAGATTATTTCTTCTCACCTAGAGATGATTAAGCTTCAAATGATCATGCAGCAGGGCTTCCAGCCAGTTCCAGATGATGACGCCCACCCCGGCCATCAAGAAGTAACCCTATCTCCACTAGACAGAGCAGTGCTAGAGTTCCATGGTCCCCAATAGGTAGGAACTGTGCCCCAATCAGCATGAAGTAGTTACAGAAGAAAGACAATTGGTCCTTCTGCCTCCCATAAAGATTTATGAGGATCACGTCTCTCAGGGGGAGATGAGGCAGAAGAACAGTTTATTTGAATAGTTTAGGATATAAATTCCAAGAAAAAAAGACAAGCAGATACAACAGAGGAGAAGAAAGAAACACAGGAAGGGTCTGGACACAAGGAGCCTTCACTTCAGTCAGACAAGCCAAGCCTCTATTTGTATAGGTTGTAACTTCACTTCAGCCTCTGATTGGTTGCAGGCTGAGACTTCAGTTCAGCCTCCAATTGGTCATGGGCCAAGTCTTCATTTCCACAGGTAACTTTACTTCAGCCTCTGATTGGTCACGGGCCAAGTCTTCATTTACATAGGGTGTAACCAACAGGAAACCTCTAAAGGGTACTTAAACCCCAGAAGATTTGCAACCAGGGCTCTTGAGCTGCTTGCTCCAGCTCACTCCCACTCTGTGGAGTGTACTTTCATTTCAATAAATCTATGCTTTTGTCTTCTGTTGCTTTGTGGGTTTTGTCCATTACCTTGTTCAACATGCCAAGAACATGAACAACTCATAGTCAAGACTCCCTACTGGTAACAATGTGAATGCACTACTGTTTCCCAAAACCTTAAATTCCATGAACTAGCTATAAGGTCACTTTACATCCAGTTTTGAGAGCTACTTTTTGAAATGTGTCATCATGAAGGAAGATCAAAACCTTTGTTTAAAAATATGAATTACAGGCTGGGCGTAGTGGCTCACGCCTGTAATCCCAACACTTTGGAAGACTGAGGCGGGTAGATCATCTGAGGTCAGGAGTTTGAGACCAGTCTGGCCAACATTGTGAAACCCCCTCTCTACTAAAAATACAAAAGTTAGCTGGGTGTGGTAGCGGGTGCCTGTAATCCCAGCTACTCAGGAGGCTGAGGCAGAAGAATTGCTTGAACCCAGAAGGCGGAGGTTGCAGTGAGCTGAGACTATGCCATTGCACTCCAGCCTGGGCAACAAGAGTGAAACTCCATCTCAAAAAAAAAAAAAAAAAAATATATATATATATATATATTCATATATATATGAATGAGATGTGGCCTGGTATTACATGTCAATCACCAAAGACTGGCTGATACTTAGTATCATCTCCAGTCCCACAACTCATTAGAAAGCCTGAAAGCAACAAATCACCTATGAAGACCCAGCTTCTATTAGTACTCAGTTGTAGGGTTAACGCTCATTTTTTAGATATTATCATACTGAAAGAACTACTAGAGGTGACTTTTAAAAATCGTGTCTCTTAATAGACTGTAAGTTGCTGGCTGGGCTCAGTGGCTCACGCCTATAATCCCAGCAGTTTGGGAGGCCAAAGAGGCGGGATCATGAGGTCAGGAGTTCAAAACCAGCCTGGCCAGGATGGTAAAACCCTATCTCTACTAAAAATACAAACATTAGCTGGGCATGGTGGCACACGCCTGTAGTTCCAGCTACTCGGCAGGCTGAGGCAGGAGAATAGCTTGATTCCGGGAGGCAGAGGTTGTGGTGAGCCAAGATCACACCACTGCACTCCGGCCTCGGCAATAGAGCGAGACTCCGTCTCAAAAACAAAACAAAACAAAAACAGCCATAAGTCCCATTTCCCACAGATCCTTCTGGATGCCCATAGACAAGGGTTTTTCTTTTGGATTTGCATGTGCTTTGTTCTTTTATGTTTATAAAGTAAAGGCATAAAACATCTGAGCTTGTCTATGATGGTAACTCTGATGACAATGTCACAGGCATATCTCAAGAAAACGATACTCTCGGCCAGGCGCAGTGGCTCATGCCTGTAATCTCAGCACTCTGGGAGGCTGAGGTGGGAGAATCAGGAGGTCGGGAGTTCGAGACCAGCCTGACCAACATGGTGAAACGCTATCTCCACTAAAAATACAAAAATTAGCTGGGTGTGGTGGCATGCACCTGTAATCCCAGCTACCCAGGAGGCTGAGGCAGGAGAATCGCTTGAACCCGGGAAGCAGAGGCTGCAGTGAGCCGAGATTGTGCCACTGCACTTCAGCCTAGGTGACAGAGAGAGACTCCATCTCAAAAAAAAAAAAAAAAGAGAGAAAAAGAAAGAAAATGATACTCTCTAATGCAAAATGGCACATACTGTTTAGTGAAGGATCATTTACGGTGAACCAAAAAGATTACAAGATTCTTCCATGTATCTTAGTCTATTTTATAAAGTTAAAAATTTGGGCAAATTTCCACAAATCTCTTGAAATTAGTAACACCTTCAGAGAGCCCAGATTAAATTAATCTTTTTCCCTCCCTTTCTTCTTCTCACTTCCCTTCTCTTCTCTGTCAGATTTCTTTCTTCTCCCATTTCCCTCTCTCATGCACCTCAACCCCTTACTCCCTTATCTCACCTCACTCCTGCCTCCTTTTCCCTCCCCTTTCCTTCCCTTCCTTTCCTCTCTCCCTTGTTCTCTCTCTCCTTTTCCCTCCCTCCATCTTCTTCTACCTCTATCTGTCTTCCTGTGTTTCTTTCTTCTCCTTTGTTACATCTGCTTGTCTTTCTTGGAATTTATATTCTGAATATAAACTATTCAAATACATGGAATAAACTCATGTTAGAATGAACTAAAAGGACACCACAGCTTCACATTTTACAACTACTCTATAATAAGTATCGTGAAGAATTATTGAAATACTTACCCTGAAGCGTTATATAAGTCTGCAAGCTGATATAGAATATCAATTTCTAGTGGTGTGACTTGTCCATAGCGTATGGCACTCTGGGCAAATTCCTCTGGAACAGAGGAAGAAAAATGTTAAAGTCTTGAATGATTCTTAATATAAAACAAAGTTCTACCTTCACCAACTATAATACAACCTGAAAGCTACAGGCATTTTAGTATCATTTTTAAAATCTAAAATTGAATTTAAATATTTAAGTTCAACTATACAAGAATACGCATTTCTGAAGGCTAGTAAAAGATAAATTAACTTCAAGAATAAAACAATCTCTTTAGAATCTCCTCTTATCTTGCTTATTCACTTTGGTCTCCAGAGTTATAATGCAAAAAATGTAAGTGTTCTCCAGTCATTCAAAACATCCTAATACCACTGACCAAAAGGAATAGGCTTGCCCATCCTTCTGTGGCAACTCCTTCCTAGTACAAACAATCTGCTGCCACAGTGCCACTGACCTGTTTGACAGACTGGGCCAAGCTTCTTTTCAAAACTGTCAAAGCCACTTTTCCATTCCTGACCTCAGTATCACATTAAATCCACCTGGATTTTTGGAGCCCAAGTAAAGCATACATATACATGGTAACATACTTTTTAGATCTGGCTTTAAAGTGGTAAGCTTAGATCAACATCATGCCTCAATGAAGAAAAGTGAAAATGCTGAGATTCTTATTTATATATATTTTAAAATCTTACCCTTTGTGACTTCAACATCTTTCCTTGTGCCAGCTAGAGTGCTATATATCTTACGAACAAGCTCCATGTTATTCAGTAAGGAGTTAAATGCATTGAAGTAGGAGAAGCTAACCTGGTGTGAGATACTTCCTCCAGCTGCCTAGAAAATGACAACACAAAAAGTTTAAAAAACAAACAAAAACAAAAAGACAAACGTTTATGGACACTGTACTTTTCTCAAAGAGGATTCAAAGGAATCTTCATTATTAAAATGATGCTAACAACCAGTCCATAAATACAAGGAAAGTATCACACTGAAACAGTGCATTGCATGCCCTCAGGGAAGCCTATGTAATTTAGGTCTGAAGGAAGAAAGCAACATCTGGAAGTTGGACTTCATGGTTCATCTACCTATAAGGTCAAAAACAACAAATATAATTATCACAGATCAAAACAATAGTTATTTAAACAGGATCTTCAAGACCCTCAACTGTGAAACTCTTGCTAGTCCTGGATAAACAAAACATCACTGCACAATCTATGGAACACCTTTTAACCTTGTTTTCTTCCTTCATACACATACACAAAACCCAACTGATGACTTTAAATTTTAAGACAATTTTATTATATCAACTTTTCCTAATTGTTAAGGCCATTGTTATAATTAAAATACTTAACAGTCTGTGCTAAGCTCTAAATTTGGATCATGAAGGGTACAATTATCAAAAACTCCAAAAAATGTAGAAAATCTGGAGAGAATTTATTCACTGTTGAGTTATGTCTTCAATGGAATACTGCAAAAGAGGCTCTCTCATGCATGAGATGGGGGGGCAACGTAGTCTTCATTACCTCTGCAGGATGAAGAGGTAATTTGTTCTCTGCCTACCACTTGGACATAAACTCAGAAGAGAATATCTAGCATAGTTTGCAAAAGCTTCATTCCCAAGTCACAAGTCAGAGGAACCCATATGATTGAAAACATTCTCCTTTAAAAATGCAAAGAAATGCTTATGTAAATACCAATGTGACAACTTTAATCATAAAGGTCTAATACAAATAGTGTAGGTAATGATGAGCAAATATATCCCACCCCACCACCCCCACACACATGCCTTAATCTAAATACAGTTTATATTTGTGTTAGCCTGAATTTGGATATCAGCAACCCAAAAGTTGGACTCAAATTATTTCATACATTCCTCTGAGGATTAGAATTGGCTTTTGGTAAACTGAGGCTATTATAGTAGGTCTATCTAACCTAGTTGGAAGAGACTAAATGAGTCCCTTCCCACTAAGGTACTGAGTCCCTCCCTCTAGGGTTCTCTTCCTTCTCCCTCCTTCCCTCCCCCCCTTCCCTCCTTCCCTCCTTTCTCTCTTTCTCTCTCCCTTTATCCCTTTCTTTCCTTCCTTCTTTCATTTTTTTGGTTGGGGTATGAGGTGAGGGCAGGGGAGTGGGGGACGGTGTCAAGGAGGTGAAACGTGTAGGAGAAAGTGACATGCTCCATGTTCAGATTCACTGAAGAAAAAGAACAGAAGTTGATCTTTCTACCCAGTCTAAATCAGGGATAATGATCTTCAGCTGAAACAACAAAGGCACTCATTGGCTTCCCTCCATTCAAAACAAGCAGTAATCAAAAACTTACACGTAAGTACAATGCATGGACAAGAAAACGGGTAAGCGAGGAAAGTTTCAACACTCTATGTGAGGAAGTGGATGACATGAGTTTGCTATTGGTCCAGATGATTACTTTATAGAGATTAGCAGTTTGACAGAACAAAAAACTATGTCTGGTGCATACAGACTGAATGCACAGGTGAAGGGGCAGAGAGAGGAGTAGTGAGCCACAGAGGCTGATGGCCACATACTTCCTCCATACCTTCTGCCATGGGTATGGTTATTAGGACAGTGCAGAAGCCAGTGACGATCCCTCTGGCAGATAGCACCACCCTGAAGGCAACAAAGGAAGGAGCCATCTTTGTAGCAAGACCTTGGGAGCCTGGTGGTGTGGAAAGAGGCCAAGATGAAGGCAGTAGTGTCTGGGAGAGTTACTGCCCACTGGAAAAAGTAATTGCTCACCCTTGTCTATAAACTCTTGTTTCCCTTGAACTGGACTCTGTAAATGGAAATAAACAATTTGGAAATACATGAGAGCAAGATGGTGGCTCTGAAAAAAGCTATGATCTGGGAAAAGATAACTCACCGTCACCTCTACCTCCCTTACACACACACACACACATACACACATACACACATACACACGCACACACACACTTGTTTACTTTCTAACAACCAAGCATGAAATCTGAATAGTTGAGAGTCATATGAGTCCCTGGAGGCAATCCAGGACTCAATGGATCAAAAGGTTTGAGGAAATAGAAAGTTAAAGAACTTGCTTTTTACTTACTGAAACTAAGTTCTCCTCCACAAAAGGAGTAAGCATGTGAGATCTAATGGTAACCATGATGTCACTGAAATCCAGACCAGAAATCATGCCACTTTTGCTTTTGTCTTTCAGTGCAAAGGCTTGTCTTGCGTGTTCCAACTGTAGCTCCTGTGAGGAAATTAGAAACAGGGCATTAAGCTGGTTAAAACATTCCAAGTACATGGTCTGGAAAGGAAGGAAGGACAGATATCCTTCCCACACATGTACTTACTACAAAACAATGCACAGATCTGAATTTACAACAAAGCTTTTAATTTCTTTGTAAAAGCATGTGCTTTCTTAAAAATGTACTATATACTACTCCTCAGGAAAAAGAATGAATGAGAGCATATCAATAAAGGAAAGGTAGGAAAAAATAACCCTTAGATTTTACTTGACAAGTTTTCATTACTGAAAACAGACAATAATGTTTTCGGTGCTTCATTTCAGCCTTTAAAATATACAGTAATTTGGCCGGGCGCGGTGGCTCAAGCCTGTAATCCCAGCACTTTGGGAGGCCGAGACGGGCGGATCACGAGGTCAGGAGATCGAGACCATCCTGGCTAACACGGAGAAACCCCGTCTCTACTAAAAAAATACAAAAAACTAGCCGGGCGAGGTGGCGGGCGCCTGTAGTCCCAGCTACTCGGGAGGCTGAGGCAGGAGAATGGCGCAAACCCGGGAGGCGGAGCTTGCAGTGAGCTGAGATCCAGCCACTGCACTCCAGCCTGGGCGACAGAGCCAGACTCCGTCTCAAAAAAAAAAAAATATATATATATATACAGTAATTTATCTCTCCTGCTTGAAGGCTTACCTGTCATCAAAGAGTACTTCATGAATTAAGAGTTTAGGTTCATTTTCAGTTTTTCAATTTTAAATGTTGCAATCAAAGTCTCTCTCTCTCTCTCTCATTCTATAAATGAATTAGAGACCATTTTTTCAAACAAATTTTTCAAATAAACTCAGTGAGAAACTCTACCAACTGGTAAGTGCAATACTCAGTCATTCTAAAATGAAAGTCAGGAATAAGAAACTGCAAAAGTAGTGCTGAGCTATCACTGGCTCTGGGCACCGTTACTCATAAACTGTAAGACAGTCCAGAATATCTCTGAACTTTTAAACTATTGGGCAACCAAACTTTGTAATAAGTGATATCCACAAAAACAACAAAATGTGCCAGTAATCTCCTGTATACTATACAAAAGTCAAAATCAGAGCATTTCTGTTGTGGGGATCCATGACGAAATCCAAAAAACTTGTTAGCAAACATAATAATGGTGTTGCTATTGGATGCCACCGTCATACTCTTTGCAACTCTGGAAATAATAGTCATATCTAAATATATACATATTATTTAAAGATAAGATTACATAATTTTCATTCACATTTACTGATCAAAGACTACAAATTAATGTTGCTTTACCTTTTCCTGACTTTAAAAATGTTTTTTATAGAAGTCTCACCATTTTTATTTAATTATATTTCCTATGGACTTGTGATAACTCACTCCATTTTCCCATGACCTCAGCTCCAACCACTTCACACTTCAAATAAAGTGTATACATCTACATCATTAGATGGATTGAAAATGGTCCCCATGGCAAAGACATTCCTAAAGAGCATCAAAAGCAGACACAGGTTCACTCCCTGTCTTATATACCTTTTTCTTTCCTTCTACCTTCTTTCCATCTCTTTCTTACGTCTTTTTCTTCCCTATATGTCTTAATCTCCCAGAAATATCAAATGGTAGCCATAGGTACAATTTAGCCTTATGAATAACACTCAGTACTAAAGAAGATGTGGACCTTTACCTTCAAGATGAAGCAGAACGCTCACTGAAGGAGTAGTGTTAGTAGAATAGATTGTCTGTTTTCTAAAAGGTCATTAGTTAAAGGACTCTTATTTATCTTTTAAAGATACATATTTGAAGGATCACACATGAAAAAATCATAGAGTATGTGCATCTGGCTTCCAAATGATCCTGCAGGAGGCAGGGTAAAGGGTATACATAAAAAAGATTGGCCAAGAAGTGGTAATTATTGAAGCTGGTTATAGGTGCAGGACGTTCATTACACTATTCTCTCTGCTTTTGAGTATACTTGAAGTCTTCCAAAATAAAAAGGTTTCAAAAAATAAAATGACTTAAAAATGAGACGTTAAACACAGAAAAAAAGGAGTTACATACATGCGGCTCTCAGTTTACACAGTATAATTAAAACATCAGGGTATAATAGATATTGTAAAATAGCCTCTATAAATGCAAGGAAAACAGTGAGAGAAAGAGAGAGAAAGTAATCTTCAGAAGAATCTTAAACACTAGTCAGGCAGACATTTCCTTTTTTAAAAAAGTCAGCTCTCAAATGCATATATTTTCAACTTTTCAAGTTTGAGAATTTTATAAGGTGAGTTAGATAAGCACTAACAGGGAAAGTGTTAGAATAAGCACTGGCATCTCCAAATACCCACACCTAAAGCCCACAGTTTCAAATCTGTGATCGTCCTAATGAAGAAAAACAATACTGTGGGCTTATAAAAGGTAAAATAAATAAATCCTGGGTTAAAAAGGCAGGTAGGTAGGTAGGAGGGTGGGTGGATAGGAGAATTAAAGGGAAGATAAAGAAAGGCAGTTATGCTGAAGGGAAAGATCCCATGCCCTTGAAAATGCATTTCATCTAATTATGAGATGAAAATTAGCAGAACTTCAGAAACAATGTGACTTTGGATGAGACTGAACTTGTACATTTAACTCCACTGTCTTCCAAAACGCCACTCTTCACTTAAATAACAATAAAAGAACAAAACAAAATAAAACAGAAACGCAAGGACAAAGACAACAGAAAAGAAAATAGCAACTATATTTTTAAGATCAGAAAGCAGAAAAGCAAATGACAACCGACTTAATAGACTCAAAAAAACTAAGCAGAAAAAGCCAAAAAGGAAACCAATGTACATGATAGGACCCCCAAAAGATTCAGTTATTAGCTGCACTGGTACCTCTGGAAGTGACGGTGAAGGTGGAGCTGAAAACAAGGGGCTTAGATGGAAGGCTAAGAAGCAGTTCGTTACCTGCCTTACTCCAAATAAGGCCTCCACCCTTTCCCAACCTTGGCAGAAGACTAGAGGTCTACTGTCTGAGGAGTTTAACAGAGGATCTCTGAACCAGCATAGACTACACACAGTTGAGAGGGAGAATACTACAGTGAAAAAAGGTAATAAACTGAAAGTCCTTCTGCAAAATTGAACATTGAGACCTCCAACTACTTATTACTCAGCAACCAAAACATCAAAAGCCAGATCTAATATTCCAGATTGGAGACCAGATAATTTTTCCCTGATTCCCTAATCCAAAATAAAAGACCTAGCCTAGGCAACCTGGCAAAACCCCATCTCTACAAAAAATACAAAAAATTAGGTGGGCATGGTGGCACACGCCTGGAGTCCCAGCTATTCAAGAGGCTGAGGTGAGAGGATCGCTGGAACCTGGGAAAGTCAAGGCTACAGTGAGCTCTGATCCTGTCACTGCACTCTAGCCTGGGGGACAGGGCAAGACCCTGACTCAAAAAAAAAAAAAAAAAAAATGTGGAGAAAGCAGACACTATGCAAGAAGAAAGCTTTAAAAAAACAACAACAAAGAAACCTGTCTTTAATATCTTTGAAGAAGTGAAAGAAAAGAGTACATCCATGAAACAAGAACAGTATGCTATTTTTTAAAAGGAATATTCAGAAAAACCAAAAGAGCTCCTGAAAATTAGAAATACAGCAGAAATACAAAATAGAAGGCTCAGAAGGAAAATAGGAGAGAAAAGAAAACTAAAAGGTCATAAATGTAACATTTAATAGTCTTAGAAACTAAGAAAATACAATAAGAAAAGTAATAAAATTTTCAAGAATTGAAGGACATAAGTTTCCAGATTAGAAAAGCCCAATGAATGAAAAGCCCAGACTAATTAATAAAAATAAAATCACACCAAGGAATACCACCATGAAATTTCATAAACACCAACGAAAAGAAAAAAATATTAAAACACTCCAGAGTGGGGGTAGAAAAAGTTTCAAGACTAAATCAAGAATGAGAATGGCACTGTGGCAACACTGGAAACTAGAAAACAAAAGAGCAATGCTTTCAAAATTACAAGGAAAATAAACTCTTACTAGAATTCAATAACCAGCCAAACTATCTTAGTGTAATGGTGGAACGAGAGGGATATGTTTGTTTGTTTGTTTGTTTTGAGATGGAGTCTCGCTCTATCGCCCAGGCTGGAGTGCAGTGGCCTGTCCTTGGCTTACTGCAACTTCTGCCTCCCAGGCTCAAGAGATTCTCCTGCCTCAGCCTCCCGAGTAGCTGGGATTACAGGCACCTACCACTGCACCTGGCTAATTTTTGCACTTTTAGTAGCGACAGGGTTTCACCAAGTTGGCCTGGCTGATCTTGAACTCCTGACCTCAAGTGATCAGCCCGCCTCGGCCTCCCAAAGTGCTGGGATTATAGGCATGAGCCAAAACACCCGGACTGTTTGTTTTTTGAGACAGGGCTCACTCTGTCGCCCAGGCTGGAGTGCAGTGGTGGGATCATGGCTCACTGCAGCCTCTACCTCCCTGGGCTCAAGCGATCCTCCCACCTCACCTCCTGAGTAGCTAGAACTACAGTCATGTGCCACCACACCTGGCTTATTTTTGTATTTTTTGTAAAGATGGCATTTTGCCATGTTGCCCAGGCTGGTCTTGAACTCCTGGGCTCACGCGATCTGCCCACCTTGGCCTCCCAAAGTGCTAGGATTACAGGTGAGAGTCACTGCCCTCAGCCAGAATAAGAGGTTTTTACATATGAAAAGTCTCAAAAATATTTTATTCTACTTTCCTCAGGAAGCCACTGCAGGAAGTATTCTACTATAAATAAGTAAACCACCATAAAAGGAGAGACAACATGCAGCAAACAGGAGGTTCAACGTAACAGAACGGCAAATGGATTCTCCAAGATAAAAGTGAAGGGCGATCACAGAATTACTCCCATGCAGCAAGCTTACACAGTCTGGCTTCTGGCCCTGAAGTAGGTCAGGAAGCAATACGAAAATGGTGCAAGTGCTGTGGAAAACAGTCAGGTGGTTCCTCAAAAAGTTAAACAGAATTACCATATGACCCAAAAATTCCACTCCTACGTATATGGCCGAAAGAACTGAAAACAAGTATTCAAACAAATATTAGTATACATATGTTCACAGCAGCACTATTCACGATAACCATAAGGTGGGAACAACCCAAAGGTCCATCAGCTGATGAACGGATAGACAAAATACAGTACATTTGTACTATATTATACAATGAAATAGTATTCAGCCCCAAAAAAAGAATAAAGCACTGATATACGCTATGACATAGATAATTCTTAAAAACATTATGCTAAGTGGAAAAAAAAAACGATGCAAAAGTTCATATTGTTTGGCCGGGCATGGTGGCTCACACCTGTAATGCCAGCACTTTGGGATGCTGAGGTGGGTGGATCACCTGAGGTCAGGAGTTCGAGACTAGCCTGGCCAACATGGTGAAACCCTGTCTCTACTAAAAATATAAAAAATTAGCCAGGCATAGTGGTGCACGCCTGTAATCCCAGCTACTCAGGAGGCTGAGGCAGGAGAATTGTTTGAACACGGGAGGCAGAGGTTGCAGTAAGCTGAGATCGCGCCACTGCACAGCAGCCTGGACAAGAAGAGCAAAACTCTGTCTCACCGGGCGCGGTGGCTCAAGCCTGTAATCCCAGCACTTTGGGAGGCCGAGACGGGCGGATCACGAGGTCAGGAGATCGAGATCATCCTGGCTAACACGGTGAAACCCCGTCTCTACTAAAAAATACAAAAAACTAGCCGGGCGAGGTGGCGGGCGCCTGTAGTCCCAGCTACTCGGGAGGCTGAGGCAGGAGAATGGTCTAAACCCGGGAGGCGGAGCTTGCAGTGAGCTGAGATCCGGCCACTGCACCCCAGCCTGGGCGACAGAGCAAGACTCTGTCTCAAAAAAAAAAAAAAAAAAAAAAAAGTTCATATTGTACAATTCCATTTATATTAAATATCCACAATAGGTAAATCCATAGAAACAGAAAGTAGGCTGGAAGTTGCCAGAGCTTGGGTGAAAGCAGAAATAGAAAGTGACTGCTTAATGGACGAGGATTCTTTTTGGGATGATAAAAATGTTTTAGAATTAGATACACGATACTGCAAATGTACTAAATGCATTAAATTGTGCACTTTTATTTTATATTTAATATTTTGTAGATGGAGTCTCCCTCTGTCACCCAGGCTGGAGTACAGTGGTGCAATCTCAGCTCACTGCAACCTCCACCTCCTGGGTTCAAGCAATTCTCCTGCCTCAGCCTCTCCAGTAGCTGGGATTACGGCACTCGCCACCTCGCCTGGCTGATTTTTGTATTTTTAGTGGAGACAAGGTTTCACCATGTTGGCCAGGCTGGTCTTAAAGTCCTGATCTCAAGTGATCTGCCCGCCTCAGCCTCCCAAGTGCTGGGATTACAGGCGTGAGCTACCACACCTGGCCTAAATTGTACACTTTTAATTGATTAATTTTATGCAAATTTTACCTCATTTTTTTTAAAAAAGAAAGAAAGCTCCTGGAGAGCTCCAAGAAGATGAAATTAATAGAATACCTAATGTGTTTTAAACGCATTAAAAAGAGATCTTAATAATAGGGCCAAGGTTTGAGAATGACTTAGTATTAGTACATAGAAAACTAAACAAATGAAAACTAGAAACTCCAAGAACAATAACATAAGCCAGTTGCGGTGGTTCACACTTGTAATCCCAGCACTTTGGGAGGTCAAGGTGAGCAGATCACTTGAGGCCAGGAGTTCAAGGCCAGCCTGGCCAACATGGCAAAACCCCATCTCTACCAAAAATATAAAAATTAGCCAGGTGTGGTGGCACACTCCTGTAATCCCAGCTACTCGAGTGGCTGAGACATGAGAATTGCTTGAATCAAGAGTTGGAGGTTACAGTGAGCCCGGATCACACCACTGCACTCCAGCCTGGGCGACAGAGTCAGACTGTCTCAAAAAAATACATAATAGTAATAACTTCAGCCACCAATAGTATTTACAAAATTCTAATAACTCATAGGATTACTGATCTAAGCAGAATCATGACAGAATTATATTAGGGGGAAAGGGGACAGAAGTCCAAGTCTGTGATAGACAGGGAGAGGAGAGAGGTGAAAGAACTAGCTTCTTTTTTTGTTTTTTTTTTTTTTTTGAGACAGAGTCTCGCTCTGTTACCAAGGCTGGAATGCAGTGGTGCAATCTCAGCTCACTGCAAGCTCCACCTCCCAGGTTCATGCCATTCTCCTGCCTCAGCCTCCTGAGTAGCTGGGACTACAGGTGCCCGCCAGCACATCCGGCTAATTTTCTGTATTTTTAGTAGAGACGGAGTTTCACCGTGTTAGCCAGGATGGTCTCGATCTCCTGACCTTCTGATTCACCCACCTCGGCCTCCCAAAGTGCTGAGATTACAGGCGTGAGCCACTGCACCCGGTCATGAAAGAACTAGCTTCTAATCTTCTATAGTTAGGATACAATTTAAAAATACTTAAAAGTAGAAAATTAAAAAGTAGAAGTGCTCTACTATTTAAATAAATGGAAGTAAACACTGAAAGAAATAGTTACTAAGAGTTTAAAGAAGTTGCCTCTGGCAAGGGGAAAATTTTAAAACTAGGGGTGAAATACCATGGATAACTTCTATTTTTGTAATAAACTTAATAAATACAAAAGGGAAGGACACAGAAGAATAGTATATATTGATACCTGTTATGAAAACTAAGCTTACCTGGAGAAACTGTGTGAATTCTGTGTAGTTAAGATGCTTCTTCCGGTTATGCCCAAAATGCAGTCGGATAAATTCACAGTCCCAGTTAAAAGGGATATGATGATGAATTATAGTCTGTCCAAAAATTTCTTTGACATTTTCTTAAAAGGGAAAACAAAAATAAATCAATTACATCTGGAATAAGTAGTTTAACCCACTGCAATGTTCCTACAGAAAAAAATTAAGAGAAGTTTTAAAAGTCAGTATTATCTGCTTCTATTAAAATAACTGCAATATTTTTTGTGCCCAGAAACCATGCACAGGAACACAATTGATACAAAAAAATATAATTTTACACTTACGATTATGTACCATTGCATATAAGGCCATGAGATTCTTAATTTCTCTTTATTTAATTTTAATTAGAAAGTGATTTCTATCTCACATTATAAATGGCTGCTACTTTACATCCTGTACAAAATCAATAGTGTTTTCCCAGTTCCTCAAGGAGTCGAATTAAACCCTTTATCAGAAGCATGAATACCTAAATTACAGTATAATGCAATATTTGTCATACTAAGTATGGTTTGATTGAGGCTTGATTATTACATTCACACTAGCCTGAATGTCTATTGAAGATAGGTATAAGGAAAACTACCAAAAGCGTATCATTAGCTCAGCAGCAAGCACCTTATTAAAAGCTTCTGATATTGTTAAAAATATGGTCTTGACACAAAGCTTCAAAATCCCCATAAAATCCATGATTATTAGTCTGAACTATTAAAATATTTTAAGATAAGTTAAATTAGTGATTCACTTTTAAATAAAGAGTTAAATGCAGTACACTAATTTTTAGATAGGAACTAGTCGCACTGTGTAACATACACCCAAAACCCTCTGACAGCTTGTCTTCATGCACTAACAACGTCATTTTCATTCTTACAGCGATCTATACTTACAATAAAAGTCAATTCACAAATGACTGGTACTTTAACAAGCATAGACTGGATAAACTAATTTAGAAGCTCATGCCAAAAAACAAAAAAAAAAATCATGAACGAAGTTAAGAAAGCAGGAAGCCTGTTTTACTGATGTCTTAAGAACAAAATTATTTTCAAATTTCAGCCAATTTTATTAGTGAAAGGGTTTTGCCATCAATAGCTATCAGTTATACTACAGAATCAGTAAATACACGTTTAAGATTTTATAATCTCCAACTATGCTATTTTCTCTAATTTCTGCAAATTCTTTAAAGAAGATACTGATCTCATATTATAAATGGTTTAATGGATTCCCTTTAGTTTTATATATATACACTTTTTCTTAATAAAAGCATTATTATTGGGATAGGGGAATGTAAGAATTCTGAACTGAACGTTCTACCAGTCTAGAGTCAATATAATAGCTCTGAATAGATTGCAGCAATCAGCAAAGTTGGAAGAAGGCATTGGATGTCACTGGGGAGATGGGATTCTCATCTTTTCTTTCAAATGGAATGCAGGATTCATTTCCTCTCTAAGTAGGGACAAATACTTCAGAGTTTTCAAATAGGTCAAGCATTTTCACCTTACATAAATACAAATTTAAAAAGCGAAGAATTAACCCAATAGCAATTTGTGGGATCCCGGTTTCAAACCAACACAAAAGATGATCCTTAAATCTATGTGAAACTTCCAAGTTGTAAAAGATGTTAAAGTTTATAAAACAATTAAAATAATAAAGATAGCAGAAAAGGCCGGGCGCGGTTGCTCAAGCCTGTAATCCCAGCACTTTGGGAGGCTGAGACGGGCGGATCACGAGGTCAGGAGATCGAGACCATCCTGGCTAACATGGTGAAACCCCGTCTCTACTAAAAAAAAAAAATACAAAAAACTAGCTGGGAGAGGTGGCGGACACCTGTAGTCCCAGCTACTCGGGAGGCTGAGGCAGGAGAATGGCGTAAACCCGGGAGGCGGAGCTTGCAATGAGCTGAGATCCGGCCACTGCACTCCAGCCTGGGCAACAGAGCGAGACTCCGTCTCAAAAAAATAAATAAATAAATAAAAAATAAAGATAGCAGAAAATATTCAGGGCTACAAATATTGTAGCAGATAATTAAAGATTTTTAGGTTCTAACTTAATTAGCTGTTTCTAGTCCCAAATTAATTAATTTATTACTTTTAAGGTCTAACAAAAAGAAGTGTTTCATCTTCAAGTTAAAAAAAAATAAAAATGGAAAGCAAATTAGAACAAATTACTACATTTATTTAATTAAGTAACATTATAATTATAAAAGAGAATAGTTATTTCATGGTAACGTTTTAAAGGTGATTTCAAAAGTTAAAATATAATTATTTGACAATAAATGTATTACTACCTAGATAATTTTTATATAATGGTAGAATGAAATTGAATCCCTTTTATATAATAAGAAAATATCAGAACTTCAAATGCGAAACTATATAAAATAAAGTCCAAAATGCAAAAGCATCCAAGCTAAGAAAATTTAACTATAAAAAATTTTTTGGCTGGGCACAGTGGCTCACACCTGTAATGCCAGCACTTTGGGAGGCCAAGGCAGGCAGATCACGAGGTCAGGAGTTGGAGACCAACCTGGCCCCCATGGTGAAACTCTGCCTCTACTAAAAATACAAAAAGTAGCCAGGCATGGTGGTGCACACCTGTAGTCCCATCTACTCAGGAGGCTGAGGCAGAAGAATTGCTTGAACCCAGGAGATGGAGATTGCAGTCAGCCGAGATTATGCCACTGCACTCCAGCCTGGGTGACAGAGCAAGGCTCTGTCACATAACAAAAACAAACAAAAAAAATTGTTTCTATTATCACAAAAAGGATATTTATGAACTAAATTTATAATGTGTAATTTACATCTGGAAAATATCTCTGTAATAAAAACTTTAGATATCCTATTTCATAAACTTCTTAGCCATCTCTAAATAAGATCTTAGAATGTCTCTGAAACAATCAAAATGATGGCCTAAATTAGTCATAGTGATCTCCCCAAATACAGAAGTGTCATTTTCCATGAGTATTTGGACATTTTCTACTTCTCCCAAAGTGGTCACTTGACAGCTTTGTATATGGTTTTGTTATGATCACTATTACATGCTGTGGTTTATTTACCCTGATACTTTTAGGGTTTTTTTAAGCCACATCATGAACTACTATAATTACTAGAACTAATAAGATTACAAACCTACTTTGGCACTTCTGGAGATGTGTTCTACTTCTCTTCTGTTATTATTGTTTCTACTTCCAAGTGCCTGAGGTTGATTCAGATACACAGACATAATTACTAAAACTATTGTTTTCAAGTCCAATTAATAAATTGCCACTTTACTTTTATCAGAATGTGATAAATAAAATTATATAAAAGCTCCAGAACTGGAGAGCTTATACTTGTATGAGGTAATAACTCAAACAACTGGTGTTTTTATGTTACCCAGCTTTATCAGGTCCTGCATGACATGAAAGGGAACACCAATAGTCTCAAATACATCAAATACATCTAACTGAAACTGCATAGCAAGTTCCACCCACCCCCAGAGAGAATCCCATCTTTCCAGTGGCAAACAAGGATCTTTTTTGCCATGTTTAAGAATGCTATTTCTGTAGCATAGTTCTGGCCTGGAAGAAAGGGAAATGACAGTCACAACTTATTGGCAGCAAAATCACGATATAGTATTTTATACTAGGTTGGCATAGCTAAGAGAACCAGGAATCCATTAGTTTTCTGACATATAGAGAACAATAGACAACTTTTTCACTTCCTGCAGAGCATGGGCTTATGAAAGGAATGGTTTATACTTCCATTGAAAAGGGAACTGGGGCCAGATACAAAAGTAGCCTGTCATTATGTTCTCTTTGCTCAAAGGAGAGGAGCACAATGATTTGTCAGGAGAGCAGGTAACGGTGACAACTGTGATTAAGTAAAAATGTTCACAGATGTGTAACAGTCAGTTTAGCTGTATCAGTCACTTATGATGATTGGACTAGATGAAATACACATTAAATCATATATATATTATGTAAATATGTCTTAACAGAGGTTTTAATTTCCCCAGCAGCCCATACTGTGTCTCCCCATCTCATCCCCCCTCATCCCTCCCCTGGTTCTTATGGGCACTTCCTACTGGTCTTGTTCACCTTTCTGCAGTACAAAATTACCTCTGACCGGGGCTGGCACTCTTCTCCAAGACTGCCACCATGCCTGTTCCATGAATGAGCCTGGAAGGAGCTGCTGTACCAACGGTGTGGCCAGAGAACTCCTCCTGTAGGTATACAAGCCATCAGCCCTGTGACACAGCCCACCTACCATCAGCCCAATGACATCCTTATTCCAAGGATTCCAGCCCAGCAGGAGCCACTACAACCAACTTACAGGCTTGAGACCAAACATTCTTATTGTCAGGGGGAATAGTTCCTCAGTAGCTGAGTTTCACCTGCACAGTTCTTAAAGTGAAGTCAGAGAGGTTTTTAGGACTCCCACCATGAATGGTGAATATCCTTGTATATAATTGAACAAAAACAATGGTGAGGCTTGTAGAAGTGAGTTTTTCAGTGAAGGAAAAATTGGGAGGAAAGAGGAGGCACAACTGGGAGCCAAAAAAGAAAACGAAGGAAAACAAACAACAACAACAAAAAGACCAACAACAGGAACTTGTAGAGGAAGTCCCAACCAACATGGCATGCAGACTCAGTCCCAGACTTCTGGGTTCTACTCTCAGATGGTCATTAGTTTTCTGAATGACCTCCTGTTTCTCTGAGAGAAAGTATTTCTATTAGCCCTTTACCTACCTCTACAAGGGACTACTGCATAGTCAATAGAGTAGTCCTGCTGTCAAATATATGTAAAGGTCCATTTCTCAGGAAAGATGAGTTCATATTTAAAGACTATCTATCGGTTGGGCGTGGTGGCTCACGCCTGTAATCCCAGCACTTTGGGAGGCCAAGGCAGGGGGATTACCTGAGGTTAGAAGTTTGAGATCAAAAAAAAAAAAAAAAAAAAAAAAAAAGAAGTTTGAGATCAGCTTGGCCAACGTGGTGAAACTCTGTCTCTACTAAAAATACAAAAAATTAGTCGGGTGTGGTGGCACATGCCTGTAGTCCAGCTACGCGGGAAGCTGAGGCAGGAGGATCACTAGAACGCCGGAGGTGAAGGTTGCAGTGAGCCAAGATCACACCACTGCACTCCACCCTGGGTGACACGGCAAGACACTGTCTCAAAATAAATACATACATACATACATACTATTATTATTGAAGCTAGATGCTTCAACAGTCTATCATCAAATAGCATAAAAACTAATAACAATCCATCTTTTTTTAACCTTGAACTCTTAAGCTACTCTAATAGCCTTTAGTACTAAAAAAAAAAGCAAAAATCAAAAAACTTCTCTGCAATATCCAAAAACACCACAAAGAAAAAAAATATCAAAAATTCTTCCTGATTTAATCTGAATACTCAGGTGAAGCTCTACTTCTTACCAAATTAAAGTACATATTTATTATCATAGAATTTTCATTTCTTTTTATGAAAGTCTTTCTCTGTCATGCAGGCTGAAGTCAGTGGTGTCATCTTTTTTTTTTTTTTTTTTTTTTTTGAGACAGAGTTTTGCTCTGTCGCCCAGGCTGGAGTGCAGTGGCACGATCTCAGCTCACTGTAACCTCAGCCTTCCAGGTTCATGCCATTCTCCTGCCTCAGCCTCCCGAGTAGCTGGGACTACAGGCATCCGCCACCACGCCTGGCTAATTTTTTTGTATTTTTAGTAGAGATGGGGTTTCACCCTATTAGCCAGGATGGTCTTGATCTCCTGACCTCATGATCTGCCCACCTCGGCCTCCCAAAGTGCTGGGATTACAGGCGTGAGCCACCGCGCCTGGCCCAGTGGTGTGATCTTGGCTCACTGCAACCTCTGCCTCTGGGTTCAAGAGATTATCCCACCTCAGCTTCCCAAGTAGCTGGGGTCATAGGGGCACACCACCATAACTGGCTAATTTTTTTGTATTTTTAGTAAAGACAGGGTTTCACCATGTTGCCCAGGCTGGTCTTAAACTCCTGGCCTCAAGTGATCCTCCTGCCTCGGCCTCACAAAGTACTGGGATTATAGGCATGAGCCACCATGCCTGGCCACCATGGAATTCCTTTATTTTTTTTAGACAGAGTCTCACTGTGTCACCCAGGCTGGAATGCAGTGGCATGATCTTGGCTCACTACAGCCTCTGCCTCCCAGATTCAAGCAATTCTCCTGCCTCAGCCTCCCAAGTAGCTGAGATTACAGGCGCATGCCACCACGCTCAGCTAATTTTTGTATTTTGGCTAGAGACAGGGTTTCACCATGTTGGCCATGCTGAGTTTTTTGTTTTTTGGTTTTTTTTTTTGAGACGGAGTCTCGCTATGTCGCCCAGGCTGCAGTGCAGTTGCCTGATCTCGGCTCACTGCAACCTCTGCCTCCTGGGTTCAAACAATTCTCCTGCCTCAGCTTCCCAAGTAGCTAGGATTACAGGCATACACCACCATGCCTGGCTAATTTTTTTGTATTTTTAGTAGAGACAGGGTTTCACCATATTGGCCAGGCTGGTCTCAAACTCTTGATCTTGTGATCCGCTTGCCTCAGCCTCCCAAAGTGCTGGGATTACAGGCATGAGCCACTGCACCCAGCCCGGCCAGGCTGGTCTTGAACTCCTGACCTCAGGTGATCCTCCCACCTCGGCCTCCCAAAGTGCTGGGATTACAGGCGTCAGCCACTGCACCTGCCCACCACAGAATTTCATATTATTCCATGTCTATAGCTTTGTTTCCAGTGAGAAAGGGTACATTTTTCATAACTACACTTCCATCTCCTGGCTCTTTAAAATAATAACAGAGGTTGTGCCTAACCCACCCCAATTTATTCTCTCCTTCAGGGAAAAACAGCCTATTTCAGAGGCAGAAATGGAACACATTTTTATTTGCTATATGTATTAACAGTCAAACATAGTACTACATTTAAAGAAATCTCTGCTTTCTGAGGTTTCTTCAGTCAGAGGGTGAGGATGTGTCCGTGGAAAAGTTTACTTTGAAGAGTGTCCATCCCTAGGCAAACACTAAATTTGGAACACAATGTTGATTTTAATAGAGAACTCAGAACATATAACATGTTTTACTAGTATTATTCATTTTACTAGTAAATAGACAAGAGTTTGTTGTGGGTTTTTTGTTTGTTTGTTTGTTTTTGTTTTTGTTTTGGAAACAGAGTTGTACTCTTTCACCCAGGCTGGAGTGCAGTGGCGCAATCTCAGCTCACTGCAACCTCCGGCTTCCGGTTTCAAGCTACTTTCCTGCCTCAGCCTCCCAAGTAGCTGGGATTACAGGTGCCCACCACCACGCCTGGCTAATTTTTGTATTTTTGGTAGAGACGGGGTTTCACCATGTTGGCCAGGCTGGTCTCAAACTCCTGACCTTGTGATCCGCCCACCTTGGCCTCCCAAAGTGCTGGGATTACAGGCGTGAGCCACCGCACCTGGCCCCTTTAAAAAAAAAAAAAAAAAGATTAAATCTTTAGTAAGGCAATAGGCCTTTTTTTAAAATTTGAGACAGGGTTTCACTCTGGTCCCCCAGGCTAGAGTGTAATGGCACAATCTCAACTCATTGCAACCTCTACCTCCCAGGCTCAAGCTATCCTCCTGCCTCAGCCTCCCGCATAGCTGGGACTACAGGCATGCACCACCACGCCCGGCTAATTTTTGTGTTTTTAGTAGAGACGGGGTTTCACCATGTCACCCGTGCTGGTCTGGAACTCTTGGGCTCAAGCAGTCTGCCCACCTTGGCCTCCCAAACTGGTAGGATTACAGACATGAGCCACCACGCCCGGCCTTTTTTTTAACTTGGATTTTAAATGCACAGCAGCTACTGACAACACAATGTAGTATAACTGCTTATCTAGGTTACCTGAATCTAATAGTACTGAACAGGATCTCCAGTACACTTGTGGATAATGGTGAGACCAAGGCAAACTTACACTGTAGCTAGCACACACCAGTCATGCAATGGCCTCTACAAGGCTCATGCCACCTGGCAGTAACAGATATACAAGCCATTAAGTAATTATCCACAGCATGCATTAGAAGTTTTATTAAAGAAACATCAAAGAGGAAACAATTAACTAATATTTTATTCACTCTTAAAAAAACTCCAGAACCCTTTCCTGAGCTTTCAGATTCTGAAACGGATTTTCAAGGCCTCAATCTAAGGCTTCTCCCCAGAGCAGAGGTATCTTTAACAACAAAAAACCTCATATAAGCACTCAAGTAAATGTTCAATATTACTACTTATATAAATACTTGCAAAGATGCACACAGTTTAAGTATATAATTTGATGTGTATAAAATCATATCTAAAAAAAGCATAAATGAGAATATATAGGAAGTACAGAGATAACATTATCATCATAGTCTATAAGAGATGCTGATGACGTAACAGGTTTTCTCCCCTTCCTTACACCTTGCATCTAATATCATCTTCCAACTTTCTCTCATGCGCACAAGAGAAAACTATAAATAGCTCCAAACTAGAAAACAGAAGGCCATTTGGTGGAAAAGGATTTAACTCTATTTAGAATTGATCTAAAATTTCCTTTTACCTAAACATGTGCCTATAAATACATAAGCACAATTCATTTTATTAAGTGGGTACAAACATGAAAACTGACCTTCACCCCAGATCCAAAATCCTATAAAAATAAACTCCAAGTTAATTATTTCCTTATGCAGAAATTCTGTAGTCTTGAACATGGCTTGAAATAAGCAGTCCCTAGAAATCTTGTTAAATGGCATTTAACAAGATTTCAATATTTTTCTTCTTAAAAATACGAAAGGAAACTTTCTTTTATTATTTCTCTCATTCTACTTAAGAAAATTTGTCTCAAAGTGGATCCTTAAAACTAGGAAGGCAGGGACAGAAGGTGAAATGGTCAAAGTCCTTAGGAAATAGGTGAGCACCATCAAGAGAGCCAACCAGCTAGCCAGGCAACCCAGAACAGAAACAGGGTACAACTTTTAAAAAATTTTTTTTAATTTTTAGAGACTGGGTATCACTATGTTGTGCAAACTGGCCTCAAACTCCGGGCTCAAGAGATCCTCCCATTTCAGTCTCCCAAGGAGCTGAAATCACTCCTTTGGGAGCTGAGACTACAGGTATGCACCACTGTACCTGGCTTCATCTTTTTCTTATTCCATAATAATATTCCTGTCTCTAGATTATGGAGGAAAAGAATGAAAGCAAGATTCTTGAGGGCTCATATGTTCTTCAGTTTATACCTGGTACTATAAAAACTAAAACTGATTTGTGTTTAATCCTAACTATATTTCTAAAAATTCTAACTCATAAATAATAGTCTGAAAGAAAAACAGAAGACCTATAAAAAGCTAAAGTTGGCTGGGCACAGTGGCTCACATCTGTAATTTCAGCACTTTGGGAGACCGAGGTGGGTAGATCACCTGAGGTCAGGAGTTTGAGACTGGCCAGCCTGACCAACATGGGCGAAGCCCCATCTCTACTAAAAATACAAAAACTAGCCAGGCGTGGTGACGGGCACCTGTAATCCCAGGTACTTGGGAAGCTGAAGCAGGAGAATCGCTTGAACCCAGGAGGCAGAGGTTACAGTGAGCCAAGATCACGCCACTGCACTCCAGCCTGGGTGACAGAGCGAGGCTCCACCTCCAAAAAAAAAAAAAAACTAAAGTTGAGATCTAATAACTACAAGCTTTCATTTACATTAAATAAGGCATATATAAACTTAGCTACTTCCTACACTCATTTTAATCTATTTATCAACAATGGCATGTGTCTTTATTATTAAGTTGGTCTTGACAGTCTGTTGGATGAAGTGACTTGAGTTACTAATTTTATAATAATAGAAACTAGGAAAAGTAATTAAATGGAGGAGACACAAAGAACCATGATATTAAGGTAGAGGGACAAAAATTAGAATTTGATTGTGAGATCTAATTCTTAATGCACACAGGATATAAGCACAGGGCACTGTCACTAACTCAGACATCTGAATCAAGTTATTTTCCAGGCATTTCTGCATCACATTTGTGAGATATGTGAGCATGTGTGATACCTACTGAAAATAGAAAATGCAGCATTACTAGTAGTACATGGTTAATGCTGAATGAGATGATGGAGGTTTTGTGCCTTAAACTACAGAACCTAGGTGTTTCTGAGGAAAGTCAACATTCTTCAGGAGGCAAGATGGCCAAAGCTTGCTCCAGAGGAGGAGGATGCCAAGATTTATATGCAAAAATCAAAATAACTCTGCATAGTGGGCCAGGCGCGGTGGCTCAGGACTGTAATCCCAGCACTTTGGTAGGCCGAGACAGGCGGATCATGAGGTCAAGAGTTCGAGACTAGCCTGGCCCACATGGTAAAACCCCATCTCTACTAAGAATACAAAAATTAGCTGGGCATGGTGGTGCATGCCTGTAATCCCAGCCACTCGGGAGGCTGAGGTAGGAGAATCACTTGAACCCGGGAGGCAGAGGTTGCAGTGAGCCAAGTTCAAGCCACTGCAATCCAGCCTGGGCGACAGAGCAAGACTCTGTCTCAAAACAAACAAACAAACAAACAAAAACAAAACAAAACAAAAACTCTGCATAGCATTTTTTTGGAAAGTCTTCTCATACAGAAGATAGTTGAGTCAATGGGCAGAAGGAAGAAGGAAACAATCAATGCCAAGCTAGAAAATGTGTCCACCAAAATTACAGTCAAGGCACTACCGGTCCTTCTGATTGAATAAGTGTTTAGTGCCATAGCTCGGGGAAAGTCCGATTTTTCAAAGGTGTTTCTACAAATATCCATGCCAATTCACACTATAAAAGGGGGCTTAAGTTTAATTTTGCAAGATGAAAAATTTCTGGAGATCTCTTTCACAACAATGTGAATATACTTAATACTACTAAACTGTACATTTAAAATGGTTAAGACAGTAAATTTTATCTTATGTGTTTTTTGCCACAATAAAAACAATTCAAATGTTTTTAAAAGGTGGGGACAGTACTCAAGGTCCTTGAACTACTACATGGTTTTTATTTAAAAAATTGTTCCAAGAAAAATTAGCCAATACTTTTACTAAACATATACTAATTTCTGTAAAAAAGTGTCCTTACTATATGGTTACAAATAAAAATCCTAGTGTATACACCTGTGAAACATCAACAATGTGTTAGATTATGCGTCTACTAGAGGATTTAAATAAATTTCTACATCCAAGTCAGATGGCAATTTTAATATTCCAGCCTCTTTCCTAAAACTGAAATCTAAAATTCAGGTTCAGAGAACATTAATTTTGCCTTGATATACTCCTTCAGTTCCATTATTGGTGTTACAATGACATAGCAGCAATTTTCCAAGGATGCTACAAGAGAAGCTCTGAACTCCCTATCTAAAAATCACTTAAAGAGTGAGAAAATTGTTTCAAGTTGTTCAAAATCTACCTCGTAAGGAATTTTGCCCAGGCTGGCCCAGAACAAGAAAATCTTACACCATTTATTTTAGGAATGTGAAAGTGTCAGTGACTCAATGAGCTAAAGCAACAGCATTCCTACACTTCCTCATCTTTGGCAACAGTTTAATGCTTTGAAAAAATAAAGCCATCTTTTATCTGCATAAATCCTTTTAGGAAACTCAATTGTGGATCAGGTCCTAAATAAGCAGTAATCTATGTTTAGTTACTAGATTTAGCAATTGAAGACTGGACCAGCATCATTAACTTATCACTTATAATCTTCTTTTTCCCTTACCAAATGTCACCTCTCCATTTCCACTCTTGTCAAACAACTGGAAAGCCACTATGAACATGGAATCTGGAGCACATAAAACAGATTCAAATGCCAAGAACTCTTGATAGGAGATCAACCTGGAATAAAATATAAAATGTCATTGGCTGGTGAAGAAAGGGAAAGCATCAGGCATTTAATCTGCCTTTACTATATGAACTGTAGCTCAGGGTAACCAATTAATTGATAAAGGGTAGTTTCTTTTTATAGAGGTACTTCAGATAAGGAAGGAAGGGAGAATTAGAATATTACCCTTTTGTAAGTCCCTAGCAAATTAATGAAACTGGGCAATAATCAATAGCTCCTAACATCATGAAAAGAGAGAGGGCCGGGCGCGGTGGCTCAAGCCTATAATCCCAGCACTTTGGGAGGCCGAGACGGGCGGATCACGAGGTCAGGAGTTCGAGACCATCCTGGCTAACACGGTGAAACCCCGTCTCTACTAAAAAATACAAAAAACTAGCCGGGCGAGGTGGCGGGCGCCTGTAGTCCCGGCTACTCGGGAGGCTGAGGCAGGAGAATGGCATAAAAACCCGGGAGGCAGAGCTTGCAGTGAGCTGAGATCCGGCCACTGCACTCCAGCCTGGGCGACACAGCGAGACTCCGTCTCAAAAAAAAAAAAAAAAAAGAAAAGAAAAGAGAGAGAACCAGGCAAAATATAATTAAACCTGAATCTGATCAAGTCTCTAGATCAGTTTCTCAACCTCAGTACTGTTGACATTTTAAGTTGGATAATTCTTTGCTGTGCAGGTTTTCTGTGCTTTGTAGCATGTTTAGCAGCAACTCTGGCCTCTACTCACTAGAGGCCAATAGCATCCCCAAGTTGTGATCAGTGTGACTAGCAAAAATGTCTCCAGACATTGCCAAATATCCCCTGGAGAGCAAAATCACCCCTGTTGAGAGCCACTGCTCTACAACTAATCATTGATTTACAGAAAATACAACGAACAAAGGAACATGTTCGCTACCACCACATAAATGCAGACTGTAGGAAATGACAGAAGAAACATTCCATAGTTACTGAAAAATAATTTTTAATGAAGCTATGAAGAGGATTCTTCTTTTTTTAAGGGGCCATGCTAATCTCTGTATCATTCCAATTTTATTATATGTGCTGCTGAGGCAAGCACAGGGAATCTCAATCTTAAAAGACCTAACAGATATAACAATGAATCACAATATACATCCTTATTTGGATTCTAATTTAAACAAAGTAAAAAAAAAAAAAAAAGGTTTTTTAATTTATAAGACAATTTGGGAAATGGAAATACCAACATAATGCAAATGCTTGATGATATTAAGAAATCAATGTTTTTAGGAGGTTTTTTTGGTTGTTGTTAAGCATTCTTATGTTTTAGAGATACACAGTGAGACATTTGCAAATGAAATACGTCATCTAGAATTTACTTCAAAATAATCGAGAGGATGGAGAAGAGATGGAGATATAAAAAAACAAATAATTATTTGGGTAATGATTAAAAGTAGGTGAACTTACATTATTCTCTGTGTTATACGTGTTTGAAATATCACTAATAAAAATTTTGGCCAGGCACAGAGGCTCACATCTATAATCCCAGCACTTTGGGAGGATGAGGCAGGAGGACTGCTTGAGTACAGGAGTTTAAGACCAACCTGGGCAACATAGGGAGACTCCATCTCTACAAAAAGTAAAAATAAAAAATTAGCTAGGCATGGTGGCACACACCTGTAATCACAACAACTCAGGAGGCTGAGGTGGAAGGATTGCTTGAGCCCAGGAAGTAGAGGCTGTAATAAGCCAAGATCATGCCACTGTACTCCAGCCTGGGTGACAGACCAGACTCTGGCTCAACAAATAAATTAATTAAACTAAAATAAAATGTTTAGAGGCAGGGCACAGTGACTCACGCCTGTAATCCCAGCACTTTGGGAGGCTGAGGCAGGCAGATCACTTGAGCTCAGGAGTTCAAGAGCAGCCTAGGCAATATGGTGAAACCCCATCTCCACAAAAAATACAAAAATTAGCCAGCCGTGGTGGTGTGCACCTGTAGTACCAACTACTTGGGAGGCTGAAGTGGGAGGGCAGTTTAAGCCCAGGAGGCAGAGGTTGCAGTGAGCCGAGATCATGCCACTGTACTCCAGCCTGGGTAACAGAGCCAGACCCTGTTTCAAAAAAAATTTTTTTTAAATTTTTTTAAAATAAAAATGTTAAAAGGAAAAATCAAAACAAAAATGGTGGGAGCCAGGTGCAATGTCCTGCACCTGTAGTTCCAGCTACTCAGAAGGATGAGGCAAGAGGATCACTTGAGCCCAGGAGTTCAAGGCTATAGCATGCAATGCTGGTGCCTGTGAATAGCCATTGCACTCCAGCCTGGGTAACAGAGTGAGACCCATTGCAAAACAAAACAAAACTTAACAAAAAGTGGGAGAAACTCATATGTTGGGTTTCTAGAACTTAACATGTCCTATCATACTCAAGGTTATAAAATTAACCAGTGATCAAAACTACACAGAAATTGCCTTCAGTGACCGTACAAGGCCAGCATATGCTAGACCTTTCATAGCAAGCTTGCTACAAAGATTCCATACCATCTTGCTGCTCATTAGTAGTGAGTGTCCAAGTAACAGCATTATAAAAATGTGTCTCATATGCACACAGATCTGCATACTGGTCTTCAATGAAGTATTTTCCTATGAAACTCATCTTTCCTTGATTGTCCAGTGTTAATTATTCTATATATTTCAAAATGTGTTAATTGATACAAGGATTTTCTATAGTATATCTTTCATGCGATTTCTGTTTGAGGAAGAAAAAAACAGACTGACCAATAATTTTAAATATAAAAAATAGGCTGATTATGGGTTTTCTTTAAAAAGGCATAACATACTGGTTTTTACAAAACAGCATCAAGACATAAAAAATACACCTACCCTGAAATACAGAATATGTAGCTTTAAAACAAATTTCATGCTCAGTAGTAAAACCAATATAAAAATATAAAACCTTCTCATAAATATAAAACCTTCTCATAAATATAAAACCTTCTATATTTATGAGAAGAGGCAAAAACTTCTTCCTTAACTAGCAAAGGTCACAAACTGTCAGCTGGCAGACTGAATTTGGTCCAAAGATGTGTTTTCTTTGGCATGAAAAGTACTATTTTTTTAGTTGCATTAGTTGACATTAAGAAATCACAAGATTTCCCATAAATACTCAGTTTTTTCTGGTTTATTTTGATAAACTGCAAGTGTAAACAACACTAGGTTTCTGGTCCCAAGTAGCACCAGCCCCTTGAAGACAAGCAGTCTTTTTCCTTCACAAAAGCAACCAAACAGGGCTCATCAGTCATATATCTACAGACCACACTGTCCTTGTGGATTTGAGACTCTTGTCACATAGGTTTCCAATTAAGTAGCTCTTTGTTTAAAATAGAAAGTCTATGGAATTTACTAAATTATCTACATTTTGTCTGCCAGCATATTCAAAAGGCAAATCATATATTCATGCAACTTTTGAGCCAGAAGGACCCTTAGAAAGGCAAACGTTAAGTGATCTTCCTCAAAGACATTCAGCAAATCAGTGAGGCTACCTGAAGACTCCTAACTCCTGCCTTCAATTTGGTGTTCTTCCATTATTGTGTATCTCCTAACCCTCTCCCAATTTTTAAGTTATAATTGAAAACCAGAAAGGGTATCTGGCATTAGTAAGCAGACCATTATTATAAGAAGCTATTGCGGTAATACTCAGCCATCCCTCAATACTCAGTTACCTTCAGATATATTCAGATCTGTATCACATGAGACACATATTCAGATGTATCATGAAAATACACAAAAGCACCAACAACTTAAAAATTAGTCAAAAATCAGCCTGTTACAGTGACACATGCCTGTAGTCCTAGTTACTCAGGAGGCTAAGGCAAGAGGATCACTTGAGCCGACAAGTTCAAGGCTGCAATGAGCTGTGATTGTGCCACTGCACTTCAGCCTGGGTGACAGAGTGAGACTATCTCTAAAAAATAAATAAATAAAAAATAAATCAACTGAGTACATTATTCAGCCTTAAAAAGGAATGAAATTCTGACATATGCTACAACATAGATGTGCCTTGAAAACATTATGCTAAGCGAAATAAGGCAGACACAAAAGGACAAATAATGCATTATTCCACATATGTGAGGTAGCTAAAATAGTAGCAATAAGAAGTAGAGTACTGGTTATCAAAGGCTGTTTGGAGTGGAAGGAAAGAGAATGGGGAGTCATTATGTAATGGGTATGGGGTTTCAGTATGGAATGATAAAAACATTCTGCAAATGGATATGATAATTTTTTTTTTTTTTTGAGACGGAGTTTTGCTCTTGTTGCCCAAGCTGGAGTGCAATGGCATGATCTCGGCTCACTGCAACCTCCGCCTCCGCCTCCTGGATTCAGGCGATTCTCCTGCCTCAGCCTCCCCAGTAGCTGGGATTACAGGTGCGTGCCACCACACCCAGCTAATTTTTGTATTTTTAGTAGAAACGGGGTTTCACCATGTTAACCATGGCTGATTTCGAACTCCTAACCTCAGGTGATCCGCCCACCCCGGCCTCCCAAAGTGCTGGGATTACAGCCATGAGCTACTGCGCCTGGCCTTGGATACGAAAATAGTTGCATAACAATGTGAATGTACTTAAAGCCACTGAACTGTCCTGTCCACTTAAAAATGATTAAAATGGTAAATGTTATTTATGTATATTTTAACACGATTTTAAAAAGTCACTTGAGGTTACCTAGGTGCATACATTTGTCAAAGCTCAGCAAATACACCTTTGAGATTCACATTTTCTTACTGTGTGTGAGTCTTACATTTAAAGAAAAACACTCAAAGGCTGGGCATGGTGACTCACACCTGTAATCCCAGCACTTTGGGAGGCTGAGGCGGGTGGATCACTTGAGGTCAGGAGTTTGAGACCAGCCTGGCCAACATGGTGAAACCCCACCTCTACTAAAAATACAAAGAAAAATTAGCCTGGCATAGTGGTGCATGCCTGTAATCCCAGCTATTTGGGTGGCTGAGGTACGAGAATTGCTTGAACCCGGGAGGCGGAAGTTGCAGGGAGCT